TTTTTTCTTTGAGACACACCATTTTGTGGATTGTAGGTGTAATGCTGTCTTAAAAGCATACAAGCCGGATTACTGAGCCAGTGTTCATATACAGGCTCCTCTAAATGTGAGTATTCCACTATACCACTATTGCATCTGAATTTATCTTTACGTACCATCTGCACTATATTGTTTTCTCAATTTTTTTCACATGTACTATATACTAGGCTTATAATCAAGCTATATGGGGTAAGTGTACCCCGCTACCTTTTCAGTGCTCCACTTATAGGTGTAGGTTCTGCACTTACACCGCCTTATAGATTTTGGATTGATTTAGGTGTGGATAGGAGGGTATTTCAACATAAATGTTTTTGAGCTGCTGTAACTTATTGTCAATTTTTAGCACCTTATTGGACACACATTCCTCCCTAAAGGATGTACACCTCATTCAGGGATATGAATTTAATTGTGGCCATCATAAATATAAGAGACATGAAGCATTATAGACACTTGAGTATCACATGGTGCATAGATTACAGACCAGAGTCAGGGGAAAAGCAGGTAGAAAAATTATAACAATACAAGATAAGAAGAAAAATACTGTGTACAGTAACATGTTGCAAAGCATGTCACAAGTGGTGAGATAATGTAAAACCTGTGCATAACACTATAGTGTTCACAAGCAAATAAAAACATCTCTCTAGGGTTTGATGATATGGAGCTGGACAGACCCACTGTGAAATCAAAAAAAAAAAAGAAACAATCATCTTATATAGTTAGGGTTCGTTACTCATACTCCAACAATTATAGAACAATAAGTTCCTGTCGCCTAAGTGTACTGAGAGAAATAAAAGAAAGAATTATAGTAATATGCATAGAAAACAGAGTGGAACATAACTATCATAGAATCAGCCTCGAGGAACTTGGGTTCTCTGCATGGCTTAGGTCTGTGTCCACTGTTGTGCTGCTGCTTCCCCTTCCACCTCTAATATTTGGACTCTAGTGGCGATCTGTTCCATATCGGCGCTGAGTGCTTCCATTGTTTCCCCAAAGCTTTCCTCCAATTTAGAGAACATTGCAGTGAGGTCTATGAGAACATAGCAGTGAGCATGGGCGTCCGCATGGGGGGGCAAGGGGGTGCACTTGCCCCCCCCCTGGATTTTTCAGCTTGTTCTGCTTTTTTCGTGTTAGATTTAGAATTAACTGCAATACCGGCGCCGGGCAGTAGGTGGCGCTGTGTATGGAGAGAGACAGGGATAGGAAGCTGCATCTTATCCCTGCTTCTCTCTGCTGATTGAAACCTCAGGGGAGCAACACATGCAGCCAGAGAGAGCCTACAGATCAGGTAAGTGAGGGATGGGGGGAGAGTTTGATAGGGGGGCAGCAGCCTATAGATTTAGGGGCAGCAGCAGATAGATTTGGGGCAGCAGCCTATAGATTTGGGGCAGCAGCAGATAGATTTAGCAGCAGCCCATAGATTTGGGGCAGCTATAGATTTGGGGGCAGCAGCCTATAGATTTGGGGCAGCAGCCCATAGATTTTGGGGCAGCAGCCTATAGATTTGAGGGCAGCAGCAGCCTTTAGATTTGGGGGCAGCAGCCCATAGATTTGGGGGGCAGCAGCCTATAGATTTGGGGAGGCAAGGCCTATAGATTTGAGGCAGCAGCCTATAGAGCAGCAGCCTTTAGATTTGGGGCAGCAGCCCATATTTTGGGGCAGCAGACCATATATTTGGGGCAGCAGCCCATAGATTTGGGGGGGCAGCAGCCTTTAGATTTGGGGGGGCAGCAGCCCATAGATTTGGGGAGGGGGGCAGCAGCCCATAGATTTGGGGAGGGGGGCAGCAGCCCATAGATTTGGGGGGGGGGCAGCAGCCCATAGATTTGGGGGCAGCAGCCCATAGATTTGGGGAGGGGGGCAGCAGCCCATAGATTTGGGGGGGCAGCAGCCTATAGATATATAGAAATGAACAGGAAGGGTCAGCAAGGAGCTGGAAGGTAAAGCAGCACAAAGGTAAAGTAGAAGGAGCAGAAAGGGTTAGAAATGAGCTGGAAGGGGCAGAAGGAGCACAAACAAAGTAGGAGAATGAGCAGGAAGGGCCTGCAAGGAGCAGGAAGGAGCACAAAGGGACAGCAAGGAGCACAAAGGTAAAGGAGCAGAAAGAATCAGAAGGAGCACAAAGGTAAAGTAGGAGAAAGAGCAGAAAGGGACAGCAAGGAGCACAAAGGTAAAGTAGCAGAAAGGGATCAGAATGAGAAAGGAGCAGAAGGGCGCAAAATAAGCAGAAAGGTAAAAGAGCAGAAGGGGCCAAGGATAGAAAACAGTGTCAGAAGAAAAAAAAGACTGTCAAATGAAGGAGAGGAAAAGGAGATTGGAGCAGGAAGGACAAATGAAGTGAACCTCCACTTTATTCTGGACACCACATCATAAGGCTTTGGTACCTGGACCTTCTCATCTCCAAAGGTAAAAAAATATCGGTGTTAATGTGTTCACTTTTATTTACTGAGTGTCAGGAAGCACAGAGTTCCGTTGGGTAGGGGTGTTGCTGATTGGCTAGAGCGGTCAACTGGCACTCTAAGCCAATCAGTAGCTCCCCATTCATAAAAAAGTAAAAATATTTTATGAACCGGGAACTAGCGATTGGCTTAGAGCGTCAACTGACCACTCTAGCCAATCAGCGGCACCCATGCTTGACGTCAATCTGCACTTTCTGACACTCTGTTTCAGAAGCCAAATACCACTGAGCGACCTGGAGCTGGAGGAAGCCTTTGGGGTTAAACCATTTGAGAGCGATTTAACCCCTTAAAGGAAAGCGAGCATCCAGGGGCTTCCTGGCATCATAGCATTTTCATTTAGATGAAGTTGTTATGGTGACCAGAAATGTCCTTTAATTTGCTTAAAGGAACACTATAGTGTCAGGAATACAAACATATATTCCTGACACCATAGTTGTGAAAACGCTATTCACCCTGGCTTTATGTGATAATGGCTATGCCCCTTCCCTTTCATGACACTGTCAAAAAGGTACCAAACATGGATGTCATTACAATTATGCCCCCCCCTGGAAAAATTCCTGCGGACGCCCATGGCAGTGAGGGTAGTTGTGCAAGGAGTGACCGCAGGTCCAAATCTTCAAGAAAGGTTTCGGAGATTTCAGGGCTTACAAGTGTGCTATCCTGAGGCTTCAACCCCAACTTTAACTTAGGTAGCTCTATCTTAGTCAGCTCCTCCTGTTCCATCTGCTCTCTCTGTTCCACAAAAAATCTCCTCAGTGCAGTTTTTCAAAAAGCTGTAGATACTGCAGATGGGGCACTCCCTGCAGCCGAGCGTGTTTTTGTTGTTGACATAATCAGATTTAAACGTTGCAAGTTATGTTGAATATTGTCCAATTGCGTCCATTTGTCTGGTTACAATTACATGTCTGTTAGTCCACCCATTGTACAGCGCTACAAAATTTGCGGGCACTATATAAATAATAAAATAATAATAATAACAATAGACATTTTATAGCACTTGAAATAAGACAAATTGTTAAGGGTTCACACCTTATAACCGTCTTATAACAAAACAAAAAAAATGGTCACATAAATACTTCATTCATAGCCACACAGCATACTTCACACTATTTTTACTTATCTTAGATGTATCTAAATCAAGTTTTCCATAGACAGCAGGAGAGTAAGAGTAAGAGGGAACATATCCTTCAAACCATCTTTGTAAACCTTATTAAGCTCCGCTGCAAAGCATAACAGTCTGCAGGTGGGCTCATAACACATTCTCAGGGTGCTCATGATGCTCAGGTGCACACGTGAAAGTGCATCCGTGTGTGAGTGTTGTTGCATCATGCCTCCATCCTAAAAACTTTCTATAAAAATCAATCTATTGTTTACATTTCCTTTATTGTACATTTTCTTTAATTTAGAATGTTTCACCTGCTTTTTTAAAAGTGTTCTAGACTTTTAGGAGCCTCCTGTGTGTGATTAAAGTTCAATTTACAGAGCAGGAGATCTAACTTCTAAAGTAAGTTGACTTACTATCTGATTGATAGTTTTTTTTTTGTTTTTTTTTTGTTTTTTTATGCAGGCTATGTGAGTCACAGTCAGGGGAACTATTACACTTAGTTCAGTGTAATAGTTGTTATGGGCTGCATAAACAGAAACAAAGGTGATTTAACAGAAAATTGAGCAGTGTGAATGCTTGGGCATGATATATTTATCCAAATTGTCTATAGTATCCTTTTAACTTCTGTGGCACAATAAAAATGTTTACAGGTTCAAAGTGTGAGATATGTTGTGTAAATGAAATGGTAAAATCATGAAAAAGTTAATTTTTATTCAAAATTATTATTCCACTGCAAAATATGAAAAGGAAAGAAAGCTACGAGGGAACAAGTACTTATATATAATAATAATAATAATAATTGTGTTAGGTATAGAGTGTTTGTATTCTTAAAGATTATTTGACCTATCTGCTTTATTTATTATGCACCTATTCTACCTTTTTTACTACACAGTTCATAATAACTAAACCGCAAAAAATGGAAACGGCAAAGACAAATGGACAAAAAATCAGTTTGCAATCAGCAAGTTCTCTTAGATTTGTGGTTCATATTGATGAGAGAAGCAGCCATCTGAAAGGTACAATTAAAATCTTACTATAAATAACATGTAATACAAAACCAAAGTATCACCACTGTGAATATTAGTGAATAATGTACAATACTTAGCTTCAACAGATGCAAAGCAGCCTCCCCAGGTCGTTACCCAAAAACGACCTTTACATAGAATATATACAACCAACAGCAGATTTGGAGATACGGCTGAATAAGTCGGGAAATAAACAAAAAATAGTGCAATACAGTAAACACTTAATATATAGTGCGCCACATGAAATGCACTTACAGAATGTTGGCAAACACAGCGCTCATAGGGTGCCTCCCCCGAAGTAGCTGGTGAAAGTCACCATAAACGTTAATATAAACGTAGGAATAAAACAAAACGGTCCAATGCGTTTCGTTCCTGAGCGGAACTTCCTCAGGGACCACAATAATACAAAAGAAAAATATTGCAATTACAATCAATAATAGCAAATCCTATTGCTATTTGCTATTATTGATTGTAATTGCAATATTTTTATTTTGTATTATTGTGGTCCCTGAGGAAGTTCCGCTCAGGAACAAAACGCGTTGGACCGTTTTATATATGGATATATAATTTATGGGGATATGTGAAAAATGTGTGTTTCCTGCCTGTCGGTAATTGAGTTAGTCCATTGTGTTTGTTAATTTTATCACAGGCAGAGGGAAGGGTTTGTGTACATTATCTGGGAGTGTCTATCTGCACAAACCTGTTTTGATTGGCTTTGTAACTTTGTATCCTGTTTTCCACAAGGTCCATGTGCTGAGTTCCTGTTTTACCCTCAACATAGAGCCTCGTCTCATGTGTAGGGGAAAAGGCTGCATCTACACTGGGGATTGCTATACAGTGTATACTCCCTTGGCTTTGCTCTCTGAAGGAAGAGAGGTTCACCCCCTGGACCCTGGAGCCTTGTCATAGGTCCAGGGTGGGTAGGAGACAGCGAGACCCCAACCAAGCTGCGGCAGTTTGTGGGGTCTGCAGTGCTTATGGTGTCAAGTGGAGTGCTTGGAGCCCTCGGGAAGCACTTTGAGCATCCATCAACAGAGGTACCCAGTCAGGGTGCCAGGTGTTCCATTACAACATACATATACACAGACACACAAATACACACACTGACACACATACACAAACACACAGATACAAACACTGATACAGGCATACAGATGAACGCATGCAGACAGACAGCTACAGATACACATACAAATATTGCAACACATACAGATACAAAGACACACATACAAACACTGACAAACATACAGATACAGACACACACATGCACACCTGTGGATGCACAAACACACAGATACCAGTAATGATACACACAGATACACACACTGACACACATGCAGATACACATATACTGTGGTGAAAGATGAGAACTATTTGGCCCACCTAGTCTGCCCAATTTTCTAATACTTTCATTAGTCCCTGGTCTTATCTTATTTTTACGATCGCCTTATGCCTATCCAACGCGTACTTAAACTCCCTCACTGTGTTAACCTCTACCACTTCAGCTTGAAGGCTAGTCCATGTATACACTACCCTCTCAGTAAAGTAATACTTCTTGATATTATTTTTAAATATTTGTGCCTTTAATTAAAGACTATGTCCTCTTGTTGCGGTAATTTTTTCTTTTTTTAACCCTTTAAGGACTGAGCCAAATGTACACGTTGTGATCAAAACAAAATGTAAACAAAACATGGAATTTGACTTTGTCTGTCCAACTGTTATTCACTTATTTCATATTAAGTGCACCCACACATATTATATATCATTTTATTCAGGGGAAACAGGGCTTTCATTTAACATCAAATATTTAGTTATAAAACATAATTTAATATGAATAAAATATTACAAAAATGGGAGAAAATAAGATTTTTAAATTTTTTTTTCTATGTGACATTTTAAATGTGAATGTCATAATACTGTTTGCTTTTACTGCAATAAAATACACATATTTGTATTCAGCAATGTCTCACATTTAAAACCGTACCCCCTATGTACAGGTTTTATGGTGTTTTGGGAAGTTACATGGTCAAATATATCATGTTGCTACATCTAAGTGCTGCTTGTAAGTGTGTAATTGGAGATATTCTAGAGCAGGACCGTCTTTAATATTGATTGGACCCTGGGCAAGCATCTGTTTGGGCCCCCTGGGCATGCAATCACTCCCTCCAACCCAACCTGGAGGCGAAACTAATGTAGAGAGTGCCTTGGTGCAACAAAAAAAAAATAATTCAGGCCTGCCCTGTAGCACAAGAGTAAAGAAAAGATAGATCCCCATCTGTCATACAACTCCTGCGATGCTATGCCAGGTGGGGATCTACCATCCTTGCAGGGTTGTATTTTTGAGCAGTGTTTGTGCAATTGAATGTCAGCATGTTATTGTATAGAGTGGATGTGTGCATGTAGGGGTGTATTTGTATGTACTGTTACCACTGGAATGCAGTGATGTACTTGTGTGTAGTGTTTGCGTTTGAATGCAGGGATGTGTGATTGTTTGTAATGTTGGCTTTTAAATGCAGGTGTACCTTTGTGTGTAGAGTTGGTGTTTGTATATAATTTTAGGGTTTTAATACAGGAATGTGTTTGCATGTAATGTTTGTATTTGCATGCAGGGGGGTGTTTGGATGTAGTGTCTTTTAAATACATGTGTACATTTGTGTGTAGTATTAGTGTTTCAGCAAACGTGTGTGTTTTTAATGTTTGTGTTTGCAGGGGTCTGTTTGCATGTTATGTGATTTCTATAACACATATACACATACACATTAACACGCAGATACACACATGCTCACACCTTGACACATACACATACACACTCAGATACACACCCTTTGACACACAGATACAAGCACTTTGATATACACACACTGGCACAGGTATATACACACACACACACACATACATAAAGGTATAAATGCAGGGGTGTATATGTGTACAGTGCTAGAGATGGAATGTAGGAGTGTATTTGTGTTGGCATTAAAATGCTGGGATGTATGCATTACCACACACTCAGATGCACACTTACACACACACACACACACACAGGTGCACATACAGGTGTATGAGGTATACATACACACAGAAACACTGACACACAGACAAACACAGCCAGATACACACAATGACATAAACACAGCCAGATACACACACATAAATGTGTATATTTACATATTTTAATCTCTGCCTTCTAGCAGCTCTTGGACAGCAACTCCCAGCAATCTTGGCCAATATAATGTCTCAACTCTGTTCTTACATACCTAGAATTTGGCAAAAGTGACATTTGAAAATGGTGTACAGCCTTTGATAACACTTGATGTAATATGTTAAATTAAATACTTTTTAAATTTATATTTAATAGGGAACTGTCAGGTTCTTCTAGGATTTTAACATGTACTTATTCCCTGTGTGTAACATTACAAACACCAACACACTTAAATAAAAGTGATATCAGAAATTAGCAAAACAAAAAACAAAACATATTTAGCCACCCTCCTGTCTCCTTACATTTTGAGTACAGAAAGGTGGCTTCCCTGGGGTCCAGTGGGAGCTTGTTGGCCCAGGCTGATGGGAGTCTGCCATCAGCTTTCTCAGTCCCTCTCCCCCACAATGCTTGCATCCTCCTCCATGTGGTGTGTGCCTCCTCCCCAGCGTCACTGAGGAGGAAGCAATCTGACCTCACTTCTTCCCAGCATGCCCAGGAAACAAAGAGACTCACAGGGCAGTATGTGAGGGGCTAGCTGTGAGTATGTAGTCAGCCACCCCCCATATAACAGGGGCCCGGGCCGGTCCAGAGCAGTATTAAAGGGCTGTGCCCCCTGATTACCTCAGGTGCCGCAAGGGCCCATGGGGCAGCTGCCTTAGGGCCCCAAGGAGTAACTGGGCCCGGGGCAGCTGCCCCTTTTGCCCCTCCTTAAAGACGGCCCTGTTCTAGAGAGTTTTACAGAAGCTTCAGCTGTCTAAGATTTTGCTAAGAGTTTTCTTTTTTACTGTTACAGGTAAGATTCATCTATCGGAATAGGTTACTGATTGCACAAGGTTTGATTTCCTGTTGGTACTTGCTATTGATTGTTGGTTAATTAGCTATTGTTTGCAAATAAGCATAGGCCTTGTCAGGTGTTAAACATTCCTAGTGGGTGGAGATTTTAGGAGATATAAAGCTTGGTTGCTACATTTAAGTGCTGCTTCTAAGTGTGTGATTGGAGACATTCTGGAGAGAAACTGGAGGTAATCTGAGGTATTCGGGAGGACAAAAAAAAATTAGATTTGTTTGATTTAAATTATTCACTTCATTAAAATGGCAGACTTAGTTCAGTGTAATAGTTGTTATGCATTTGTTTCACGTTCTACTTGTTGGAGATTTGTATACTGTCTAATCTGTAGACAGCTCTCTATATTGCGGCAGACGATTGCATTTTTGAAGTATGAGATTTCTAAATTATCTGGTAAACAAACTCAAGCTGGAACTGCTGCAAAGCCACTGTTGCAGAGATGCTCTAGGAATGGCAGATGGATTACTGTAGGATCTGGTAGACTTAGATTTGTGGATAAAAGGCATATTGCACAGTCTGTTGCTCTACATAATTAATTTTCTATCATAAGAGGTGTGGAGATGGACAATGGTGGTCTTGTGAGATTTCTTCTCGGAGCTACTGCTCACAGAGACAGGAGACGTATTTGTAACATTGTTAAGCGAGCAAAGCAGGAAGGGGAATTGGATGTACTTGTCCATCTAGGCACAAATGACGTGGCTTGCAATGAGGTTTCAGAGGTAAAGGAAGTTTTTAGTGTTTTTGCCAATGATATACAGCAGGTTGCTTCCACACTGTCATTCTCTGAAGTTCTGCCTGTGCATAACACTCAGAACGACAGGCGGATGCGTAATGGGGACTTTAACTTGTGGCTTGGTGAACGGTGTCGGGAGCAAGGATTTGGCTTTATTTCTCATGGTAGCTCTGTTTGGAATGGTAATAAACTGTACAACAAAGATGGTTTGCATCTTTCTCAAAAGGGAACAAATGTTCTCAGTGAGCAGTTAAGAGGTTTTGCTAGGATGTATTTAAACTAGGAGGGGGGGGAAGGGTGATAAAACATCAATCCAATTGCCCCCCAAAACAAGGACAAAAGGTGCCTGTAGCAAGTGTGTTAAAAAATGATAAGCTTAGAGTCATTTCTACAAATGCTCGCAGTTTAGGGAATAAGATTAATGAACTTGTGGCAATAATGGCAACTGATAATGTAGATTTAGTCGCTGTTACTGAGACATGGTATAATGAGAAAAATGACTGGGACATCGCAATACCAGGGTACTCTTTATATAGAAAAGACAGGGAAGGCAAGAAAGGGGGAGGGGTAGCCCTGTATGTGAAGGATAGCATAAAATCTAGCCTAATGAAAGTTAGTGAGGCGAACATAGAGTCCGTTTGGGTTACGTTAGAATTTGGTAATCACACAGTAACTTGTGTAGGTGTGATTTATAGGCCCCCAGGACAAGTAGAAGAGTTAGATAATCTACTAGTTGAGGAAATAGCTAA